TGCCGATGGCCGGTAGCTCCGCCCAACTGTTTACATCTGTCTGGCACCTATCAGAGTCGTCCCGCAGGTCCCGGGCAAATAAAAAAAATGGGAGGAGCAAGCAGTGATGTCATGGCTGGCTCTGCCCAGTTGTTGTCGTCGTTTAATGACAGGCAAGCGTCCTCAAACAACCTGAGGATGCTGGGCTGCCATTGAATGACAACAACTGAGCGAAGGCTGGCTTCGCCCAGTTGTTTATATTTGCAGGGAGAATGGTCTGCTTCGGCAGACCGTTCTTGCCGCTTTGGCTGAGACTTCGGGTCTTCCGAGCCGAAGCATATGCCTTCGCCCAGCTGAGCTGCTCGGCTGACTTCGGCTGCTTTAGGGCTAGAGTGAATAACCCGTACAGGAGCCCTTCGGTTTGGCTGAACCGGAGGGCTCCGGCAGCCGAAGTGAGCCACAGGATTAGCTGATGCTTCGGCTTAATCCTTCGGCTACTTTGTGAATAACCCCTAAATGATAAAAGTGCATGTGCAGCAATTGTATACGGAATTTGTTTCCTATAAAAGAAATAACGAGAAATAATTATAAGCTCATCAACAACTGTGAACAGGTGACTTATCCTCCGGCTAATAGCTTAACTCCACTTTTAGACCATGTTCCATGTTACAAGTTACCTACATGTAACCTGAGCCATGTTAACATCCACCATCTTCCACCCCCCAAACTGCCCCTCTAACCTGAATCATGGGATTCTTCTTCCCAAAGGCCCCTGCCATTTTTTTTTTTATTTGGCGCAGATGTGCAAGATCTATGAATGGAGAGACTACTGAGGCAGAGGGACTCGAAGTTCTCCATGAAGTACGCTGATGTCACCGCACCTGTAGTCCACTGATACTTCCTCCAGTCCTATAACTAATTGTGCATTACCACTGTATGGACTGGAGATAGGAGGAATAGTCTGCAGGAGCCAGGGCATTGCAGCTGTGATCCACCGAGCACCCTTGCAATGCTTTGTCCGCTCACATGCAAATAAATAAATAAATGCACATTTTTTCTTTTATTAATCTGTTTGCATTTATTTAGTTATTCATGTATTTTTTTTTACTTTAAAGGCTGGACTATGCCTTTTACAGCCCATGTTCCATGCAATCTATAGTCAAAAATTGTAACTAAACAGAAAACAAAATGCACCAATGTTAGTTATAAGGAAGAACTCCGGCCAACATTTTTATTAACGCTTGCAGTGGGGCTACTCCGTCACGGCAAGGGTTAACTGCTAATTTTCATCTAGGGAGGAAAATAACAAAGCTATAGTCACTGCAAAGTTATTTAAAAATTAAATAAATCCATTTTTTTTAGACTTTGTGCCATTGTAAAATACGTCACTAAAAAAAAAAAATCCCCCCCCCCCCAAAAAAAAACAGGCAATCAAACAAATAAAAACAAAAAAGGAACTATTACTGTTAAAAAGTAGATATAAAAAACAACAACATAAAAGCTAAGGGGAGGCAGGAATAATTAGAACTGATTAAGGTTAATGATTAACGAGGGATACTAAGGGGTTAAATAAGAAAACAGTTTTTTTTAAATCTCTGCTTCTAATATGTGAGGTTGCTTTAACTGACTTCATATGTAGACCAAAGATCCCTCCTTTGATCGGCTGTGAATAAACCAGAGAGGTTACAATGTAACAATAATAATATTGCTACATTGTAACTCTTCTTGACACAGTAGACTCTGTTCTGTGATTGTCAACTTTTACGGCTTGTTCTCACCAATTACAGTGCGTTCCAGCCCAAGTAGCTGCTGGAATGCACTGTACCACTAAACTCCCCCCTGCGTTCTGGGTCAGGAGAGGGCAGTGCATTCAAGTCAATGGCCCTGCAGCCACTTCCTCCGCCGGCCCCCGCCCACAGTGCGATTGCCCGCACCAGAATGCATAGCACAACAATGCCTGTGCCTCGGTCCAGTGTAATCGCAAAAAATACTGCATGCACTATTTTTTGCAATCACACTGGACCGGAACGCAGACTTTTTTATGCCACGCATTCTGATGCGGGAGATCGCACTGCGGGCGGGGAGTGGGGCGTGGCTGCTGGGCCATTTACTTGAATGCATCGCCATGCCCCCTCCTGCCCCAGAACGCAGAGGGGAGTTTAGTGTGCGATACAGTGTGTTCTAACAGCTAACCGTGCTGGAACGCACTGTAATTGGAGTGAACAAGCCCTTAGACAGGAGAGATAAAAGCTGCTCCTGTGACACAAAACAAGTACAAGATTTTTTCCCCTCCCCCAATGTTAATTAAAGCACTTACCTTAAATGATGTATCTTAATCCGATCTTCTTCTTCTTTTCTGTCGTTTTCATCTGTCCCTCCATTGGTGCTGCAGGTCTCCGATCCAGCGCTGACTCCTCTGTCCTTGCTGGCACTTCCTGTCCCACGGGGTCTGCATGCGGGTGCACGCGTTCATAGACTTACCTTGCGTCTCTCCTCGTCTCCCGGCCGAAATGTGAACTGCGCATGCGTCCACCCCAAGATGCTTTGCGGCCGCCCGAGAATTTTCAAATTTACGGACGGGAGCGCGCGGAGAAGACACTACACCCGGTACCGGGTGTTCGCATTGGACGGGTCTTTTCTGCCCGTGCGTGCCCGCTAGGGGGCGCGCGCGAGCAGAAAAAAAAATGCCGTCTGGCGACGGCAACCCGCGAATGCGACAGTGCCGTCCGTCCGTTTTTCTACTACGGGCGGACGGCAACTGGTTAAACCGCTTTTAATGCGTTTTTGTTTTTACACTTTTTGCATATATCTACTGCTTGCAAGCAGTAGATATATGCAAAAACACTGGAGGGTTTAATAACCCTTTAAGCTGAATGCTGCAGTGAGATTTTTTTTTTTTTTTTAACCAGCTGGGGATCCATATTCCAGAACTGAGGACGCATGGCTTCTATGACAGAAATTCTGTCACAGAAGCTGCAGTTAGTGACTGCTGAGACAGGTGGCGCTGTCTCAGTAATCACACAGAGCAGACGAAGACGTCGTTCTTCGTCTGCTCAATGGGCTCTATGGTAAGCTCCTATGGGGGATCGTAACGGGTCACAGTCCCGCAGAGGAACGGGGGACCCAGAAAACCTCGGTGGGGGGGCAGACACTATCGCCGATGTCGCCGCCGCTCGATTTAATACAAGCGATCTACTTAGATTGCTTGTATTAAACGAACAGCGGCTCCCACTGTACATTCAGCTCTGCTTGTCAGGAGCAGGGCTGAATGTACAAAAAGAAACTACTCGCCCGGCGCCCGAAACTGCATGTCCCGTGTGTCGGGCGATAGGTATTCCCTCCATAAGACGCAGGCACATTTTCCCCCTCCTTTTGGGGGACAAAAAGTGCGTCTTATGGAGCGAAAAATACGGTATATAAATCTTGCACACCTGCACTGTATCTAGACATCTTTGTGCTTACTCATACCACTTATTATATTAATCAGGGATAGTATAATGAATGATTCCAGGGTTGAACAACATTTTGAGAATAGGAGCTGTTGTGCCATCACCATATAATAATTAAAATGAGCTGCCCTGCCCCAGTTTGTACTGTATATGTAAATAATGTGGGGCCCCATATCATTTTGTGTGTGTGGTAACATTTTTACTGATATGAACATTAAGATGTTTTAAATAGTGTATGGTGGAGGTACACAAGTTCTTACACTATGTTAAGTTCTGTATGATTGTCACATCAACTCGACAAATCTGCGGGCACATTGTTTCAAGGTAGGTTATTTGGCTCCTGTCTAAATTGGCCCTTGTATGCATGTGAGATAGGGACCTCAGTTTGTAAGCTCCTGGATGGCAGGGACTGATGTGAATGTGCAGTATGTAAAGCGCTGCATAAATTGTCGGCGTTATATACGCTCAATGGCCGCTTTATTAGGTACACCTCTTCAACTGCTCGTTATCACAAATATCTAATCAGCCAATCACATGACAGTAACTCAACACATTTAGGCATGTAGACGTTGTCAAGATAGTCTGCTGAAGTTCAAACCAAGCATCAGAATGGGTAAAAAATGTGATTTAAGGGACTTTGAATGTGGCATGGTTGTTGGGCTGGTCTGAGTATTTCAGCAACTGCTGATCTACTGGGATTTTCACACACAACCATCTCTCGGGTTTACAGAGAATGGTCCGAAAAAGAGAAAATATCCAGTGAGCGGCAGCTCTCTGGGCAAGAATACCTTGTTGATGTCAGAGGTCAGAGGAGAATGGCCAAACTGGTTTAAGCTGTAACAGTAACTCAAATAACCACTCGTTACATCCGAAGTTTGCAGAATACCATCTCGGAACACACAACACGTAGAACCTTGAAGCAGATGGGCTACAGCCACAGAAGACCACACCAGGTGCCACTCCTGCCAGCTAAGAACAGGAAACTGAGGGCTCACCAAAATTGTAAAAGATTGGAAAAACCTTGCCAGGTCTGATGAGACTCGATTTCTGTTGTGACATTCAGATGGTCAGGTCAGAATTTGATGTAAACAACATGAAAGCATGGATCCTTCCTGCCTTGTATCAACGGTTCAGGCCGGTCGAGCTTCGCATTATGGATGTGCAGCCGACAAATCTGCAGCAACTGTGTGAAGCTATCATGTCAGTATGGACAAAACTCACTAAGGAATGTTTCCATCACCTTGTTGAATCTATGCCATGAGGAATTAAAGCAGTTCTGAAGACGAAAGGGGTTCAAACCAGTACTAGCAAGGTGTACCTAATAAAGTGGCCAGTGACTGTAAATACCTGTAATAAATAATTATAATTGAACTTTTGGGATTGTCCACATTTGCCGGATTCATGAATCAAGTCTCTCACATCTACTCAGGATGTCTATCACTGTCTGTAGACGGACCATGAGACCCTGTTTTATTTGTATTCCATGTTTTGTGCTTCTTATTTAGGCACTTTCTGTGACTGTGGAAGGTACCGCCGAGCGGTTGGACAGCTGGACCTGAAAGTCACCCATCTCAAGTCATCTTTAAAGTTTGTAAAGAACGGTGAGCTTACCGAAAGCCAGTCTGTATATGTTAAACATGGGCCAGCTTTTCAGCACTGTCAGATAAAAAGGGTGATCTGAAAAGCAGCAAATATAGGTTCAGGTGGACTTCATGATAGCAACTTTTAATTAATCGGTTCAAAGAGCAAATTACATTTGCATTGTATTAGTTCACCCTAGTTCATCATTTACTGCCCTTTTGTAGTTTAAGGAATTCCACGCTGAGAGAATCGGGAACACAGGGTGACCTTTTTAGAAAGAGGTTAGTTAGTTAGTCTCTTTCAGTAAAGGCTTTCCTCACTAGTTCCAGTCCATAAAATCTGCACCAGTGGCTGCCTCACAGCTCCCTGGCTATTTGCTCCTTTTCTACCCCATTTTGGCCCTCTCTGATCCTCTCGCCCAAATCATCCAGCCCAGCTGATAAACAGAGGGTCAGTTGCGGGTATAGTAGTGTGGATGTAAAGTCAAGACTTACCAGCAGGACACAGGGTGGATAAGAGACAACTGCCAGTCACCTAGTCACCCCCCTAACCTCAAGTTGCCCATCTGTCCCTTCCATTACCACGTTTCAAGATGGTCACTCAGTCTCAGTGCATCATGTGATGTGACATCAGTTGTGCGCTTTTCAATATCAGTCAACAGACCACCAGTCATCGGACAGGCATTTCTAACAAGGAAAAGCAAAGCCCTAATCCTCTACCAATATGGCCACCTGCACACAAAGACACAGTGCAGAATAAAACATCTAATAAAAACTCTGTAGAGACTTATTTGATTAGAGAAGATGGATGGGGGGGGGGGGGGGGGGTGGCCCCTCTGATTCCGCG